AGCTCGTAAGGGTGTTACACTTAATGTAAAGCACAAAGTAATTATGTGTTTCGATCGTAGTGAACAAAATAAAGACGTAGTACCTGTGTTGACTTTCGGATCTGGGAATGCTCAAACTTTTTCCATATAAATTAATGGTAACTGTATCCTCTCTTTACATCATTCTGGCTTACGAGAGGTTTCATAAGAACGCTCTACTTTTGGACATGGATGAATGAATGTGAGTGGGGAGGCAGCTTCTTATTAAACACTTTTGGATAGTGGGAGACTTTAAATAGTGGGAGACGCTGACGCTCCAATCTCTCACCACAGCCCTCTCAATGGACTGATCTCAAGTCAGTAAGCCCCGACAGCAGCAAGCGGCCCGCCTCCACGCATGCATTACTTCCCACGGCCACCTGGAGGAGGTCTGAGTTCCTCCGTGGGCCTTATCAGACAGAACACCCTCTCGCTGCAGACCCCAGTCCAGCTCCATGAGCAGATCCTGGGAAAGGCATCCCCGCTGTGTTCCCACTACACAGCTCACACAGCTGACGCTGTGACCGAAGCTGGGGGTTGAGTAGAGACAGGAGCGAGGAGTGGGGGGCCCTCAGAAATAGAAACCCTCCAAATGGGTTCTAGTACCTCCCATGAACTAAGTGAAATAATTCTGTTACACTTTCTGGCATAAAAGACTGCGCTTGAAGAGCTTCAGGCGGACAACTGGGGGTAGGAGATGAAAGAAAAGCAAATCTCTGAGTTCAGGAAGAACTAGGCGCGGTTCAGGAAGAGACGATGTGCACGTGACTAAGAAGAAAGCTGGACTTTCACGTAACCCAGGGTGTTCACTGTGAATGGAACACTCGTAGCCATAGTAGGTCTCACCCCAGCAGGAGGCGGGGCTGGGCGGGCAACCAATTCCCCGCCCCCTCCCCCAAAATAAACTCTACACATTCCATAATCATTTATCCCATGCTTTAAAAAGTCACAAATTTTATGTCCATAAACTTGATTTTGCCAGGGAATAACCATTTTGAAGAGGAAATATCTACTGAGTTCAATTTTACTGCTAAGGAAATGGGCAGGGTTCTACCAAAGGCAGCTTTCTCCTGGTCTGCTGTCTTTTCCTCTACTGTCTTTGTTTACCCTGCAGCTGGAGGCAGATACTAAGCACACTGGTCATCGCCTTCAGAATTTAATATCCTCAGCATTGGTCCAGGCTCAGAAAATCAAGAAGTCTGAATTTCAAAAGAAAGTGGCTTTGTCTCTTACACTCTAGCTTATACTATTTCAACGAACCAAATATTTGCCATGCAGCTAAAAAAACTAAATTGTTTTAGCAATTTAAATTCTAGTACTCTGGTAATTTAATTCATCTGAGTAATGTGTTATTGCTTCCTGACATATTTATTGAATGAATTAATAAATTACTAGTGATCCCTTAGAAATGTAATACTGTCTAGCATGTGGTCAGTTTGGTAAAAGCCCTTCTTACAATCCTGAAGCCCAGAACTTTGTGGATGGGCGCCAGAATGGAGTGAAGCTCTGCGGAGATTTAGAAGGGTTCGTGTGTGCTAGCGTGGTGTGCAATCCAATTTGTTTCATAAGGGCCACTATAAGGATAATAGTTCATGGATAATCTGCTAACACAGGATGCTGAGAGCCTTGCTACTCTACTCCTTGGTTTAAAATCACAGAGTCTATGAGATAATGCTCTTGCAAGTGTAAATGTACTCAGCCAGTGTCATAAGAGTTTATAATTAGATTATTCAGGGAAAACTTTAGGAAAGAAAACACCAACTAGGAAAATATTCCCAGGGCATACTAAATAAACTCCTAGTCTTAAGAAGATGAGAAACCATTTTTAGTGATCAGAAATGAGCAGAAGGGTTGAAAAGGAAGGAACTCAGAAAGCCTCAAGTTTCCAAGACTTCCACTGACTTCAACAGAACCGACAGAACTCATGTAGACTGCAGAGAAAATCGCTCCCTTTGTAGTAATGGATGGGCAGTCACACTGGTTCCATTTTAATAAACAAAAATGAGAAATGAATGATATACTAGCAAGGAAGAGTCTGTTTCCCTAAGCGACTGCCACACAACTGACTGACAGCAATTTATCTGCCTGATCACTGCCAAGCATGCATCCAGTAATGTGAAGATTATCCTGGGAGATGACTGATCACTTTACAGGAAAATACCCTTCCTGTGAAAGGCTTTCCTATAAATTAGGGCGAAGAGAAAAAACCCACCACCCCCGCAGCCCACGTCTTCCCCAGACAGAAGCTCCTTCGGACAGCCTGAAGAAAGTGCTTTGCTAACACACTTAGCGTGGAGCATTTACAGAGTTAAAAGCTGAAAATGCCTACCCTGGGAGACAGGGGTAAATGAGATACATTTCTGCATTTCTTCTGATACAAATTCAATTTTTTTAAGAGCCTTTACCCTAGACACGACGTCACACTTTTTACGATAATAAAACTTTAAAATCACAGTATGTGGCTTCGCAGAGCGGTCAGCAACTTTTCCATTTTTCCAGGCAGCCCCATCTTGTTATAGCAAATGGCATCGTTCCAAAGGAAAATAAGAGAAAAAATTAAATTGATTACTATGTCAACCTTGGCATCTATATGCCAAACTGTTCTTTGATAAGAGCTAAGTTATTTGGTAGAAACTTGAGAAAAAGTTTTCTTCTCTGAATTCCAAATTCTTGCTATCGGATATAATTTCTTAGGCTTATAGGTACATATTTCAACAATTTGAGTGTTTCCGAAATCACTCAAGAGGGTTTTCTACTTTCCTTCTTCACAGGCCAGTTTATTAGCCTACCTAGGGCCTCCTTTTTTCTCCCCAAAGTGCTCTGTTTCCTTCAACTTATTTGCCACATATGTAAAAATAGATTTAATAGGTAGTCAGCTACCTACAACGACACAATACAGATTTGAGCTGGGGAGGAACACATTGCTGGAAAGACCAGGCCATTACCCCTTCTCTCAGTCAAGCTCCAAAGGAAGGGCAGTGAGTACTCCGACTTGGGGTTTACCTCTTAACAAGAAACTTACACAAGGACAGGCCGCAGGCTCTCTTTACCGCCCCATCCCTGAACTCCTACTGCTGTGACGTGTTTGGGGAGAGGCTGGGTCGGCCTGGAGAGGTGACAGAGCGGGAGCGGGGAAGGCGATGCGACCTGGAGAAGTCTGGTCCATGGGCCTTCGCTCCACTGGGTTTGCACTCACACTACCTGTGACTGGGAACAGTTCTCCATTTCTATCACATGGCCCCTCTTGGCCTAAACCATGAAGCTTTCCATTTATACCCCTGATTAGGTAGGATCTTATCAGAGCTATCTGTTAGTTCCTACGCTCTATTGTTAGATATGTATTATTTTCTTCTGTTGGAAAAACTCGAGCTTTGATTTTAATTTTAAAATTGGCATGAACAAATTCCCTCTTTTGGGAATGTTCTGTGTGTAAAGGCTCCACACCCCCTATTTGTCCTGGTACTGGTTCCATCATTTCTGAGACACCGTAGTTTAAGAAACACCCACATAAACAACTTGCCCTTTATAAAGATGGACTATGGTTTCTTCCCCCCGACAGACTTTAATTCACAAATTGCTGAATTGCTGTGTCCTGTTGCTTGCTCCACAAAGGAGGTAGGCACCCCCATCTTCCCAACTTGAAAGCATTCGCAGTAATGCATTTGGCCATGGACACGTGTCTAGCTTGGAATGGACTCGTAGGCTGAAGGAGTGATTTAAGATGACCAGTTGCCTTAATCAAGACAGGTAAGGAGAGAGGAAGTTGCTATTTGATTAGCTGAATTATTCTTTTTCATTATGAGAGCTTTATGAAATTAAACAGCATGGGCTTGAGGTTACTTTACACTGAGCAGGGCTCGTATCTTCAACTTCGAATGGTTAATGTGATTGATTGACTTGAAGGAGAATAAAAAATGTTAACATTCTGGCAAAATATGTTTATATGATATACACCGTAATACAAGGTACATTTTGGAAGATAATAATAGTCTGAACACTTTATAAATGACACGTGAACTCGCAATGAGAAACGATGGAAAGAAGTGGATCCCCTCTCTCCACGAGTAGTTTGTTTCTCTTAGAGATTTCTGGGACCACATTTTAAGGCAGGTATTGAGATTCACATTTTAAATACCTTGGGCTCTGGCTAAATAAACCGTATTTTAAATAGAAGTATAAGATACTAAAAACTGAACAGAAATACATTTCTTTTTCTTAACCACTCATGTTTCTACCCACATATATAGACTGTCTGCAGATCTAGTATGGTCCACAAACATTTTTTGATCGGTGCCTGTGATGTCTAAAATTTTAGAGTTCTTACCCCCTCTCCCAGTGGAGCAGACACTCTCTCCTGTACCATCATCTCTCACCTCCCTGAAGATTAATCCAAATCTCACTTGACCGGTTTCTCCTGCACTATTTATAAAACAAAGGAGGAGGAGGAGGGTGGCACAGGAAAGGTGGTACAATCATCCTATGTTGCATCCAAAGCTGTGAAAGGCATGCATCCTGATTCTAATCTCAAGAGAACAGGGGGTGGACAGCCAGACGTCTGGATGTGTCCTGAACTGAATGACTATTAGTCTAATGCCCACAAATATGAGTACAACTTGGTGTGCTAGTCAGGTAGTAAATGGTAAATGACAGTTGGGTTTAGAAACATGTAAGGATAGCAGTTAATTTAAGGGAAGGAGGAAGATAGCGTATATAGGGTAGAAAAGAGAGGACTTAAATGAGAAAATAGCATGTGCCAAGGTCCTGGGGTGTGAGAAAGAGAAAAGGAAATAGTAGAATAAATAATAATAATAAGATAGAATGGCCTAAGCACAGAGACTGCGGGGGAGCCTGGTGAGAGACGGGGGTGGGGAGACAGGTAGGAGTTTAAAGTAGAGACACTGTGATGTAACTGTGCATAGGTATTGTTGGTAGTGATGTTAATATTTATATTGCTCTTTCTGCCGTCTTTCCGTGCTGCCATAATGGTGCGCACGAATGTCCTGGCTGATGCTCTCAAGAGTATCAACGCTGCTGAAAAGAGAGGCCAGCGCCAGGTTCTCATCAGGCCATGCTCCCAAGTCATCGTCTGGTTTCTAACTGTGATGATGAGGCATGGCTGCACTGGCGAATTTGAAATCACTGATGAACACGGAGTTGGGAAAATCGCTGTGAACCTCACTGGCAGGTGGAACAAGCGTGGAGCGATCAGCCCCAGATCCGATGTGCAACTCAGAGGTCTAGAAAAATGGCGGAACAACCTGCTTCCGTCCCATCAGTTTAGTGTCATTGCACTGACGACCTCAGCAGGCATCATGGACCATAAAGAAGCAAGACGAAACACACAGGAGGGATAATCCTGGGATTCTTTTTTTCTAGGGATGTAATACATATGTGCAAATAAAATGCCCCAGTGGAAAAAATTTTATATTAGCTCCGTATTTACAGGTACTTGCATTTTAAATTATTATAGAAATTTTCAACATGTACAAAAGCAGACAGAATAGTACAATGAATCTCTACATACCCTGCACCCAGCTTCAATAACTACCAATTCAGGGTTAATTTGGTTTCATCCACAGGCCCATTCTCTTTCCCCCTTCCTATACTGTTTTGAAGGAAATGTCAGAGATCAAATGATCTTGTCCGTGGCATCTTTTATTTTAAAATAACTCCCTCCCACTGTTTTTTTTTCTTTTTTTTTAAACACCTGTTTAAAATTCAGTGTAAGGTGCTGGAGCATGGTGGTTCTCACTAGGAGCTAGAAAAGTGAAAGGACTGCCACTCCCATGCATGGCTCCCAGATCAGCTGCTCTGATCCTCTGCTGGACACAGGTAAAAAGGCTGGAAGGTACCTTTCTCACCGGTGCAGCCATTTTTACCCTTTTTCCTCTCCTGGCACACATAGGCTAATTACTAAAATACTGAGGCTCACCGAAAATATATTTTTTGCCCATCTTATAAAAATGAAGTAGGTATAACTTTGATTCATTCACAAAGTTATTTGTGTTGGCTATTGTTTTGGCTGTTGCCTCTTTTTTTAAATTTGACAATCTAAGGGAGGTCTGTGTCTCTGACTAAAATAGGTGTTGCAGGTTTTAAAAAGTCTTGCGACACACCAAGGTGCTCTGGCACAATGGCTGAAAATTGCTGACATAGACTAATTACTTGGAAAATACTCTATTAAGCCACAAAGCCATTCATTTCTCAGTAATTGTGCAAGAAGAGCTTAAGAAAGATTAACTTTCAGGGATTCCCTTATTTTTTCCCCTTTAGAACTATGCTATCACCAATATGTTAGCCATTAGACAAATGCAGCTATTTTAATTCAAATTAATTAAAATGAAATAAAATTAAAATACAGCCTCATTAGCCATCTGTGGCCAGTGGTTATCATATTGGAAAACGTAGACAATGAACATTTTCTTCATCACAGACAGTTCTAGTGAAATATTTTTGTTTCAAAAGCCACAATTAATTTAAATTCACACTAAAAATATTAAAAAGTCAGCCATGAAAGTATTCAAAAGTTATTTTTATAATACATACACATACAATACCAAATTAGACCCTATACAAGAATATAAAATGTATTTTTCCTTGAAATAGTATCAATTCACAAGAAACATGAATTAAAACATAGTCACGAAAGTAATATTTTCTTCTCCCCTGTACTGGTTTATTTTTAACTGTGATAGTGACAAATGATAAGCTAAAAGGTATTTTCTGAGCCCAAAATTCAATGAATACTTCCCACAGAACTCTGAACTCCTGAATCACTTCATTTGCATGTAAGCACAGGCGTGATTCCTCTGGGGGTAAAGAGCACCTGATCTTTCACTGCTCATTGTGGTGGGCTCCACCAACTGCTACAAAATCAGGACAACAAAAAATATATTTGCTTTCCAGGAGGCCTTTCTTCTATAGAAACTTTACCTTAAAAAGAGTAAATCTATATTTTGTTCAAAGATGTATGTGGCAAGTCAATGGATACTATTTAAACAGTGAAATAAAAGCTTATGGGTTCAAACTTTGGCTCCTGAGTCTCAGATCTGAATCAATGGCTGTATGAAAGCAACAGCCTGGGTGGGTAAGAAGGCGGATGCGGAGGTGTCGGTTCCTCCCTAACTCCAGCACTACGCGTGTGTATGCAACAGCGGTGTGATGAGCAGCAACCGGGCATGTTTATCATGAGATAATCACGCCCCCAGAGGTTTAGAAGTGCTCAGCTGAACCCTGTGCCTCACAGTGCACTTGGGGTGTCATTATCTCATGATAACCATACCCTCTGTCAAGCTGTATTGCTTAATTAGGGGTTATGAAGGTGATAAGACTAAAAGAAATCGGATGAACCGTATCTAAGATGAATGATACCTTAATCAACCTAAACCTGGTAGCTGGAGGAATCATGAACGAACACATACAGGGAGTTACTATTATGTTTAGAGGAATCTGTTAATAATGAATGAGGAGAAATGCAACCTGCATTCACAGATCATCTGAATTGCATTTGCCATGAGGAATGATGCTTATGGTCAATAATTTAAACTGGGTTTTCATACTGTATGTAAAATGTTGCAGAGATTAATGATAACATGAAATTTAACTCTGACCTAAGATACCCAGCTTATGCCTGACAGTAATTCATCACGATCCAAACACAGAATTTAGGCAGTGAGTCTGCAACAGAGCTGATTGATAACACCCACGCCATATAAGATTTTAACAAACTAACCTGAAACCAAACAGGAAAAAAAGCACGCTATGCTCCTTCCTATTTTTTCCACTAGAGCTTAAAAAAATCATAGCACCAAATGCTCTTAACAGCCATATTTGAATATTTAACTTTAGTTCTTTTGTTCTATTTTTATATACAACTGCCATATTTGTGGGTGGAATATAGCTCCAGGTACAGTGCACTTGAAGCTGCTTCCCAATTCACTGTGAAACATCAATTATCTTTATCAAATAACAGTATCTCATCTCAGTCCATTATCAAGATGGAGTCTTATTTTAGCTGGACTGCAGCCCTATCTGTGTATCAGGACTGGCCGCAGCAGCAGAGCGGGAGTGAAAGGCTGTGAAATAATCAATAATCATCATCAAATTGTGGTCGAAAGGTTGTGAAGATGGAAGTTTTTGATGAAACCTCACCTTTTTTTTTTTTTTTTGGTGCGGATGATAAGGCTTAACCTTTGCAATACCTGATAACTATGACTCGGTCAGAGGAAGCCTCATGCACTTGAAAGTGGTTCTGAATATCCAAAGACATTGAAACACTCAGGCTTACGGGGAACACAAACCTCGCGCTATCAGAAACCATCAGGTGGGAGGGCTCACAACCACTGGGAACCTGGTGTACAGTAAACTTGGTACCTGACTCCTGCAGAGATGATTCAGGCCCGTCAGGCTGTGGGCACTGAATCCGTGGATGCCGGCATAACCACAGGTCCAGCGCATGCTGGCATTTTCCCCAGAGGGGAACGGAATGTTGCCTAAGCCTGTGTACCCAGATTTGGGAAAGGCCTCTGCTGGTGAGTTACAGAGGTGTTACTGCATCTCTTCTCATCACGCTTGTCCTAAAACTTCATGAGGTGCGGCGTGTAGAAATGTGGAGGAGAATTAACAACGCTAAGGAGGGATCTTTTCCTGATTTTTCTGTCATTGGGTTCTAATTACACTGGGGAAGGATTGAGGGGTATTGGACAGTTCCGCTGCTTGGGGTTTTGTACAAATCTAGGAGGCTGTGCTGTAGGCTAAAAACTTTAATTAAAAACTCTTATTTTATGACAGTTTAATATTTTAAAAAACATACATCTTGAAAACCACATACATAAAACCTACCTACTAAAATTTGATAGAACAAGAAGACACAAAAACTAAACCCACCAACTAACACATAAACTATGATTTCAAGGTGTTAAAAAATTAAATGGGGAAGCTCGCTGATATAAACTGTCAAACTATTAACACCTTCCAGAGGTGAGCTACTAATAATTTGAACACACTGCCATCAGTGTGATAGCAAACATTTTTGACACAGATCCTAGTTCAAGAAATTCGAGAAGTCGGACACATACTAATAAGCAGAAATTAGCTTTATTATAATTCCCCCACCTGAATTTTTTGAAAATGGGTTTGTTAAAGGAACTTGTTTGCGCTGACTAATGATAACACTCTAGGACAACTTCAGTGAAGAGTAACTAACAATACTCACTGAACCTGGAAGATAAGCTTTGGCTTATCTTTTCTATAAAAATGTCCAGCCACTTCTGGCAAGAATAGAGCAGTTGCTCTCTCTTGACCTGTATCATCATTTACACTAGTAATGGCATTGACAGTGGGTTAAAATATCTAAAGCATCTCTGAGAAATGTACATTTTATTCTCTTTGTACCAACAAAAGCCAAGTCTGTTTCTCAGAATCTCTGAGCTCTTTCTGCAACACTACACCACAAGTCAACACTTAGGGCACAAAAAAATATTATTATGCTAATTTTGGACTGGGAACTGTACAGGAAATAAAAATTAAAATAATCTGATACTAAAATATGTGAAACCTCCAATACACAACAAAAAGATGCTCAAAGAAATCCATTTTCCACTAATTACAGTTCAATAGAAAAAATTCTTCCAAGATACCGGAGAAGACAGATTTTACATGACTTCCTATAACTTGATGCCCTATCAGATGTTAAAATGTATAATGGAGGACATTGTGGCAATAGCAAAGTAAAAACATGTTAATCAAATACAATCAGAAACTTCAAAAATCTATCACTCACTATGGTAATAAATCATAGCATAATCCTGTGACATTTCGATATTTAGTTTTGAAAATGAGCATTATAGCAACATGTCAAGCCTAATGGTAATACAGAATACTGTTTTTATTTTTCCAATGTTTTAAAATTAGTTTATAATCATAATGCAAAATTTCATGTTAACAATATCTGCAAAGGGAGGACTGGCTTTTTAAAGGGAATAAAAATGCAATAGTGTGTGTGGAATCTTGCCACAGAGGTAACTATTAAAACTACACAAGACGGACTCCTGAAATTGCTACAACCCTTCACCCACATACAATAAATGTGCTCCAGAAACATTCGGTGGTCTAAGGCCGAATCAGTTGGCTCTCGAAGCTGGGCAGCAATAAGATAGTATGTTTTATTATGAGTGTCATGGAGACGGTGTGAAAAATCAAGAGCCACAGGCAGTCGGCGGCAATGGGTCAATAACGCTCCCAGAGACACTGTGTAGATAATCAACACCAAGGCCTGAGGCCCTCTCTGCACTGCACATCGCTGAAGGGCAAATCAATACCACCGGGGGAGGACCCTGCTCTGCTCCACTTCCCA